TCTGACATGGAGAAAACGGGACATAATGGAAATATCGATAAAAAATCAAAAGTCACTTTCAAAAATGGTGTTCCGCGATTAAACTTGGCAGTATCATTGGTGATGTCCTAAGGAACTCCTATACCGAGTCTCATCTCCTTAGGCCTCGTCTAACATGGAGAAAACGGGACATAATGGAAAAATCGATAAAAAATCAAAAGTCACTTTCAAAAATGGTGTTCCGCGATTAAACTTGGCAGTATCATTGGTGATGTCCTAAGGAACTCCTATACCGAGTCTCATCTCCTTAGGCCCCGTCTGACATGGAGAAAACGGGACATAATGGAAATATCGATAAAAAATCAAAAGTCACTTTCAAAAATGGTGTTCCGCGATTAAACTTGGCAGTATCATTGATGATGTCCTAAAGAACTCCTATACCGAGTCTCATCTCCTTAGGCCTCGTCTAACATGGAGAAAACGGGACATAATGGAAAAATCGATAAAAAATCAAAAGTCACTTTCAAAAATGGTGTTCCGCGATTAAACTTGGCAGTATCATTGGTGATGTCCTAAGGAACTCCTATACCGAGTCTCATCTCCTTAGGCCCCGTCTGACATGGAGAAAACGGGACATAATGGAAATATCGATAAAAAATCAAAAGTCACTTTCAAAAATGGTGTTCCGCGATTAAACTTGGCAGTATCATTGATGACGTCCTAAAGAACATCTATGCTGAGTCTCATCTCCTTAGGCCCTGTCTAACATGGACAAAACGGGACATAATGGAAAAATCGATAAAAAATCAAAAGTCACTTTCAAAAATGGTGTTCCGCGATTAAACTTGGCAGTATCATTGGTGATGTCCTAAGGAACTCCTATACCGAGTCTCATCTCCTTAGGCCCCGTCTGACATGGAGAAAACGGGACATAATGGAAATATCGATAAAAAATCAAAAGTCACTTTCAAAAATGGTGTTCCGCGATTAAACTTGGCAGTATCATTGGTGATGTCCTAAGGAACTCCTATACCGAGTCTCATCTCCTTAGGCCTCGTCTAACATGGAGAAAACGGGACATAATGGAAAAATCGATAAAAAATCAAAAGTCACTTTCAAAAATGGTGTTCCGCGATTAAACTTGGCAGTATCATTGGTGATGTCCTAAGGAACTCCTATACCGAGTCTCATCTCCTTAGGCCCCGTCTGACATGGAGAAAACGGGACATAATGGAAATATCGATAAAAAATCAAAAGTCACTTTCAAAAATGGTGTTCCGCGATTAAACTTGGCAGTATCATTGGTGATGTCCTAAGGAACTCCTATACCGAGTCTCATCTCCTTAGGCCTCGTCTAACATGGAGAAAACGGGACATAATGGAAAAATCGATAAAAAATCAAAAGTCACTTTCAAAAATGGTGTTCCGCGATTAAACTTGGCAGTATCATTGGTGATGTCCTAAGGAACTCCTATACCGAGTCTCATCTCCTTAGGCCCCGTCTGACATGGAGAAAACGGGACATAATGGAAATATCGATAAAAAATCAAAAGTCACTTTCAAAAATGGTGTTCCGCGATTAAACTTGGCAGTATCATTGGTGATGTCCTAAGGAACTCCTATACCGAGTCTCATCTCCTTAGGCCTAGTCTAACATGGAGAAAACGGGACATAATGGAAATATCGATAAAAAATCAAAAGTCACTTTCAAAAATGGTGTTCCGCGATTAAACTTGGCAGTATCATTGATGACGTCCTAAAGAACATCTATGCTGAGTCTCATCTCCTTAGGCCCTGTCTAACATGGACAAAACGGGACATAATGGAAAAATCGATAAAAAATCAAAAGTCACTTTCAAAAATGGTGTTCCGCGATTAAAGTTGGCAGTATCCCTGATGATGTCTTAAAAAATCGCGGAACACCATTTTTGAAAGTTACTTTTGATTTTTTATCGATATTTCCATTATGTCCCGTTTTCTCCATGTCAGACGGGGCCTAAGGAGATGAGACTCGGTATAGGAGTTCCTTAGGACATCACCAATGATACTGCCAAGTTTAATCGCGGAACACCATTTTTGAAAGTGACTTTTGATTTTTTATCGATATTTCCATTATGTCCCGTTTTCTCCATGTCAGACGGGGCCTAAGGAAATGAGACTCGGTATAGATGTTCTTTAGAACATCGTCAATGATACTACCAAGATTAATCGCGGAACTCCATTTTTCACGACCTACATTTTTTTTTTCGATTCTTCTGCGTCTTATAATCACGCAGGCGAATGGAGAAAAAATTATATTTTTCGAAACAAAAGTTTAAAATTTAGTTATGACATTATCCATGTTGTCTTAAAAATGGCTGCTAAAACAGGCCGCTAACTTCACATTTTGGTTGCTGTAACTGGCTGCCAACTTCACACTTTGGCTGCTGTAATGCGGCTGCTAGTTTCACACCGATTTGTACTTCACATTGAATATTTATATACCCATTGTATACCTCTGTAGTGTGAAATAAATAAATAAATTGAAATGTCAAACGAGTCATTTGAAACCGAGATTCAAACGGCCCGCCAAATATTAGTTCAATGACTACACCGCTATGGCAGCACCGTCGGAAATGTCACTGGGCGACTACAACAGAAGTGAGCGTTCTATATCAAGAATATAAATCACTTTTCTATGGTTCAGGGTTATTAGAGCATGATTGTTTTTTTTATACAGTAGCTGTGAATATTTGAACTTGTTACTATAGATTGTCTTTCTCGCTGAAAGTTGACATTGCAATCTTGTAAATGTAGATTTATCAAAGTAAACATTTTGTTATTTTTGAAGTATTCTTTTCAAGACCGCATTCTTGGCAAACAAAATATTGCTCATACAATACTTTTTGGAAGAATAAATATACTGTTCACTTTTCGGTCACAGTATCCCTGCCCACATTTCGCTTTGCTGTCTTAATTGCATGCCATAAATGGTAATGCTTAATGGCTTATTAATAGGATATGTGGGCACTTGAAGTTTAGACAAAGATGAGGACAAAGATCTATATAATATACTCCAAGGACCTTTTGAATCAATTTTGGTTTCAATATATTTTGATACATACTGATATTGATGAAATATGTGGTATCCTTGGAGAGATAAAAAGTAAAAATTCCTCTGGCATAGATGACCTTACACTCAGAGTGTTTGCGGCTTTGCCCAGACAGGCTTTGGAGATTATGGTAATGTTAATAAATCAATCTTTTGACGATGGTTGTTTTCCTTCTAGTCTCAAGACCGCTGTTGTTGTTCCGCTGTTTAAGGGTGGTGATTCGAAAAACCCTGCTGATTTTCGTCCAATCTCAATGTTACCTACGCTTTCAAAAATCATTGAAAAGTTTGTAAAGAAAAGAATGGTAGCCTTCATGTCTAGTCACAATATCCTGACTAGTTGTCAGTTTGGATTTCAAGCCTCTAAGGGTACTAGCGATGCGGTGTTCAGGCTTCTGGAGAGTGTGTACGTCGGTCTGAATGGAGGAAGTATGGCTGCAGCGGTTTTCTGTGATTTTTCGAAAGCATTTGATTGCGTAAATCACAGAATACTGCTGGAGAAAATGCATCAGTATGGTTTCAGGGGAATGGCGTATGAATGGTTTTCATCTTATTTGTCAGGTAGGAAACAGGTGGTTTGTTCTGAGGATGGTAGCTCAGATGAACTGTCAATGAGACACGGTGTTCCCCAGGGTTCGGTTCTTGGCCCAGTTCTTTTTCTATTGTACTTGAATGACTTGGCTAGACTAGATATTCGAGGCCGTTTTACCATTTTTGCAGATGATACGACCATCTTGTGGCTTGATGAAGATGCTAGTTTATTAAAAGATATCATAATTGAAGACCTACGACGTGTGAAGGAGTGGTGCGACGCAAATTTACTTTGTTTCAATTTAAATAAAACTAGTGCTATTTCTTTTAGGTTTGTGTTGGATGATCTGAATGTGGACAATTATTTCGTGGCAAATAAGGCTAGCAGCAGGTTTCTGGGCTTGCACATAGACTCGGATTTAAAATTTAAAGAGCATATATTGTGTCTGAACAAGAAATTGGCATCTGGATGCTTTGCTGTTCGTATTGTCACGGGGCGGCTGGGGTCACTCATGGCTAAGTCGGTATATTATTCACTTGTCGAGTCTCATTTGAGATATGGGATTGCATTTTGGGGTTTTTGTAACAAACAACTTTTTAATTCTGTGTTTGTCCTACAGAAGAGGGCGCTTAGGTATTTATGCAAATTGAAGGCTAGGGACCATTGTAGGCCATTGTTTTGTTCAGGAAGAAATCCTTACATTGCCATGTATTTTTATTTTGGAGACTGTCTCCTTGGTGCACAAAAAGTATAGAAATTTTATAAATCCCAACATCCACAACACACGTTATGGACATAATATACCATTACCAATACCCAGGAGTGGTTTTACCAAAAACTCTTTAATGTATGAAAGTTTAAAGATATACAATCATTTGCCGGATGAGTGGAAGGGTCTCCATGATCTTAAGAGTTTTGTAAAATGTGTAAAGTCCGTTCTAAAATTGAAGGCATACTATAGTTTAGAAGAGTTCTATAAGGATGTTTTTTAGTCGTTTAATCTTATATTAATTTTTACTTTGATTGTTTTGTTTAACTATTATATCGAGATTTTAAAAAAGTATTCCTGTTTTTGTGTAAATTTTGTATTTTAACTTAATTTTATCTAATCGGAATAGTATTTGTAGTATATTTGAACAATTGACTAGCCCTAAGTTATGTGTCTGTAATTTATTTTGTATTGAGTATTGCTAAGATTTAGAATTTAGGGTTAAATTTATATTTTTTAGGCTTTGTCAATGAGTTTATTCTTTAGACAATAAAGCGTTATTTGATTTGATTTGATTTGATCAATCTAAATTAGTTCTAGAACTATACTCAACATTTACTAAATACTCTAATCTCTAATAACCTATTTTAATTAGTGTTTCCCAAAATTACCAAGAGTTCCGTCTGTACCTTTTAATTGTTCCAGAGTTGTTGCCAAAAACTCTTTGATCTTATTATCAGTCGACATCAGAATATTCAATCCGTAATTTTCTGCATTTTGGAAATTCTCTGGAGGGTAAATTCCTCGTTGAAATAGGATAGAATTTATTCCAAAATCTGAAATTATTGTTTATTAATGCCCCCTGCAACACACAACAAAGGACTTACTTAAATATTCGCATACAATTTCTGCTGAGCCTTTAACGGTTATTGCCGATTTACTTTTGACTGCGGCGGTAGTCATGTTTCTTCGATTATTGTAAAAATTATCAATGAATAGGTATAACAAATTTTCAGTTTTCTTTTGCTCACAAACAATAAAAAATCCGTTAAAATTAAAATTGAAAATGAATATTGTTATTGTTTTGTTTGACAGACATTCGAATTTGAGTTTGTGAGCTTGACATATGACATTAAGCACATGGTAAGTTAGTGCTGACATCTAGTCACAATTTAATTATCTAGAGCCGCTTTCCAGCTGACGCTTTTGAGCAAGTAATCGAGCTTTTGCGCGGGCAAATGCTTCAAGCGCGTGTTCGTGTTCCAGCCGTACTGCGCTTCGAGAGCTGCTAACTTTTACATTTCAAACATAGAACACTGTGCTGCACCGTGCTTGAAGCACACAGCTGGAAAGCGGCTTTGGAAAGCGTACTCTGTAATCAAAAAATAGTAGTTTAGGTGGGTTCTGGACTGCTCGGGATGACTGTTCTATACACTCCATCCAAGTGGCAAGTGCAGTAAACACTCCCGATGCGTTCGGGTACACGAGTCGCTAGCTGGTCTGCGAGTGACGTCACCCGCATACCTCGATGGATTGCTTGCGATTCAGGCTGCGGTTGTGAGTTAATTTTTTCGTCGATTTCAAATGTAGAAAAGATGATTTCAACCTTTCTTAGAGCAGGTAAATAAAAGCGCTGTCCTACGGACATGAGTAGGAACGCGCCATTCTGCTTATGAATCTAATGGCGTTTCCGATTGATAGATCTAGTGCGGAACTAGTGCAATTTTTTCTATTTCTGGCTTGGAAGTTTGTTCGTGTCGCAATAACTTGAACTGAGCTGTAATATTTCAGATTATGGCAGATTATAACCATAATAACGTTAGTCAGTTCATTGTCATAACACAAACGAACGCCCCTAAGCAGAAAGTGCTGCTCCGAACCAACACAAACAAACAAACCTAAAGAGTGGTCCATTGACGACATATTTAATAAAAGCAGCATAAAGCCTAGTACTCATAACTGCGAAATTCGCACTTTTTTGACATTGCTTCGACAAATTGACGTTTTATGCGTGAATCAAACGTCAAATTGTCGAAGCAATGTCAAAAAAGTGCGAATTTCGCAGTTATGAGCACTAGGCTTAAGCAATAGTAACAGTAACTTCGAAATCCATTTGCGCGTCGATTTTTGCGGTTTCGTGTCCAACGAACGTTTGCTCAGACAGCGAATGCAATATGGAATATGGACGTTTTTTCGAACGCCAACGAACATTCGGTATCCATCGCCAAATCTCATTCGTTGGCGTTCGTTGGCCCGGTCTGAACGCACCTTAACCAAAGCCAAGAATCGTTAAGGATAATACACACTAGTACTACAGGATAGCTTATCCTCATAAAGCCTAGTACTCATAACTGCGGAATTCGCTTTTTTTGACATTTAGGCAATTCAAACCACGTGACATTCAAGATGGCGTGGCGGCCACACATGGACCAAAAAACACAAAAAAAATATCTAGTTTCTGCCCGACTTAATAGTTTACGTACCTAGTAAACATATATTGTATTGAATAATCAAAATCAAAGCTGCAAGCACAACTCGAAGCAAAATAATTGAAATATGCATGAAAATACTTGTTCGAAACAAACTTGCTGGCCGCCACGCCATATTGAATTTTTCGAAAAAAGTGCGAATTTCGCAGTTATGAGTACAAGGCTTAAGGCCTCTTAACCCCCCCCCCCACCACGTCAAAGATCCAGTGATGACGTATGCAGCGTATCGTTTCCCGCCTTGACGTAAGGTTTTTTCACCACAGGTCCGCGTCACCATTCCTCGGTCCAGAACCCTTCGTGACCTGACAAAAAGCCATGTAAGGACCGAACTCAAAAAATGGGTGGTAGAGGTACAGCCTCCCATTGGAACAATACTCCGCACACACAAACAAATTATTTTTAAAATTTGACATATTTGACACTAAGACAGGCGTCTCACGCCATGATACTGGAACGGTACAAATCTAGTGCGTGGCGCCCCCGAGGTATTCTAAAGCGCGCCAGAGCGCGCCAATGTGCATACTGGAAAGCAGCTCAGTATGGGAGTGTGACGCTCGGAGCTACTCAGTGCGTTGAGCTCTCGAGCTGTACGTACGCGTCAACCTGTCAGCTGTGACATCCGTGGGTGCCTATTTATTTATTTATTTCTTGTTATATCTCGGGATTGAACATTTTCAAAATATTGTTTTGATTCTCTTTCATTTTTGATCAGTGTTGTCGAACGTCAAAAATCGGGAGAAACTGGTGTTGAAAATCGGTAGATTACTGCGCAAAATCGGTAGGTATAACCCATAGACATTGAGTATTGAGTTGAGCCATTAGTTGAGCTAATCCATTCATGCGCGTCACTAATCGGATGACGAGTCATTTGCCAACTTATTTGTCGATTATTTGAGTTGAAGGCAATCCAATGCCAATGACCTGTCCAAATAGCGCCTGGTTGGCAAACAATGAACAAAAAACATATGAGGCGTTTTCTCGCGTCCACTTTTTTGAAATTGGTTCAAATAGTTATTTATGCACCTAGGTCAAAAAGTACAGCTTTAACGCCCGCAGCGCTGTTTACACGCTGAGGGCGTTAAAGCTCTTTTTGACTGAGGTGCATACAAGATTTTATGCACGATGAGCATGTTTTTATTTTGATATTTAAAAAATTACTTATATATTTTCAATTTTGTAATGACATCAATCAGAAATATTTCAAAATATAAATTTTCATCTTTACCGCATAAAATAGGTCGTGAGATTTGGTCAAATTTAGATCAAGGAAGCAGTTGTTAACAAAAATATCACGTAACTAGTTATTAAGTATAGCAACCCAGAACAATACAAACAAATAATTATGTGCTGTGTAGTGTACGTGTATAGTATTCTTATGATGGTAGTGCGTCTGAAAATGGAGCAAAATAGTATGCCCAAGTTTATTCTTGAGGCAGTTGAAGAGGCCAAGGAACATGTAAACCTTCAAAATGCCTTCAAAGTCCAAAGAGTCTATGAAAAAACATATGAGGACTTTATTTCCTGATGTGCCCAACATAGTGTAAATGAGCAGCAGTACTTTGTAGAAGAAACTCTCCTGGCCTGGCATATACATTAATATGAAAAATGCAACAAAAAAAATAAGCCATCCACCCCATGCAGCTTTTACTCAATGTTGAAGGCAACAGTTCTTTTGTGTATTTTTGTAGAAGGGCCGCGGTTTTAAAAGTTAAAAACTGTAAAAATTGTATTTTCAATTTTAAAGTAGATTGAATTTTACTATTATTGCTTATTTCATTATTCTTATGGCAGGCCGCACATCAAAGAAACATGAAACGTGAAACATAAAACATGAAACATAAAACGTGAAACAATAAATTACGAAAAGAGAAACCGTTTCTTTCTTGCACACTAATCAAAGAAACAAGAATAATGTTTGCAAAGTCTTTTGGTAGTGTAGTGGAGTGGAGACTGTAGCACACAATGGAAAGTGATGACGAGCAACTACAACTTCTGTTGGGCAACTCTCCTATTATTGTCAAAAAGCCAAAAAAAAAAAAAAGAAACAACGTTACTGGGTACAACCATAAAATAATGTAGGTACTTTTTATCTGTTAGGCAACATTTTGCTAGGCTTTTTCTTGTGATTGTCTATTCGAGTACTTCTCCATGTTATACATACAATTCTGAATCCTCCATATCGCTCCATCACCGAAACGAACACAATATTGAATTCTTGGTCGTTATTAATTTTTTTATGAATGTATTTATGACCAAAAACCGTGAAACTGAAACAGAAAAATAGAACGCGATCTATTTCATGAAACACGTTTCAAGCAACAAAAATGTTTCACGCGCATGAATCACACTTGTTTCATTGGTGGGCGGACTTGTATTTATTTGTTCTTATTCTATTTTCATGAAACGTGTTTCACGTTTCATATTTCACGTTTCATGTTTCTTTGATGTGCGGCCTCCCTATTAATTGAAATAAAGCTTGTTTTGTTGAACAAAGTTGGTATTTTTTGGACTAAGCAATAGAAATACAAAAAGTTTTTGAAAAAATTGACGAATTTTTGCTTATTTTTGAAACTTTCAAGCCTGCGGGCAAAAAAGGCGCCCTAGGGCGTAAAAGTACTACTTCACGCTTTGAAATGCGGGCGTAAAAGTGCACTTTTACGCCCGTTCGTGCATAAACTGTTTTGAAACAGTACATTCTCACGATAAACATATGACGTCACGTCAAAATTGGTTCAAGCCCAAGATTCCTGAATTTGATAGGTTGTCTGGTAATGGGTAACATGATGACGCACCTGGGGTGCTTTATGGAGATTTGCATTATGTTGGAACACCCCAGATGACGTCATAAAGTTATCAGGCAACCTACCTCTCTCAAACAACCGTGGTTCAAACCGTTTCGAAATACAATCCAATCCACGTTTTCAAACCATTTTTTCGCGCCGAGAAATTATGATTTTTCGCGCCGAGAAATTATGACGTCATGGTGGTATTACTTAAACCAGTTTTGAAAAATGTTTTGAAACATTTGAGACGCGAGAAAATGCCTATGGTTTTTTTTTTGGAAGGATTAAGCCTAGTCAGTGAAGTAGAAAGAGGTATGGAATGAGCTTTGCGTCATTCTATTGATTCCAGAATGAGATAGCGCTAGTAAGGACAAGAAATATATTGGATCTCCTATATCTCTCTTTCTAACCCTGAGTGAGATAGCGCTAGTAAGGGCAAGAAAATCTCATGGATCTCTCCTGTTCTCTCACTCTAATGTTGGCCGCAAATACAGGGTGTTCCGAAATTAATGCACCAAATTTTTATGGCATATTCTACGTCGAAAATAAGCCCTAGTTACCTAGATAAACATATGTCCGGAAACGCTTCCTTTCCGAGATACAGGGTGTTGAAACTCTAAGAAAAAAACTATTTTTTTTATCATAATTCATACCACTTTGAAATTTTGTACACTGCTTTCAAGCAGCAAAAGACATTTTCTGATGTGAAATATTTTTTTTAAAAATACCAGTGACGTCACAAAACTAATTCGAAACTTTAGGTGTTTATAATGTTTAACATTTTTATCATAATTTTGGCGATCTCGCCATGAATCGAAATGGTTTTTCATTTTTTTACTTTAAAACTGTGCATCTTTTGGAAAAAAGTGAAGAGATCAAATTTGTTCCAAATTGAATGGGGATTCCAAAAGTGATTTTTATTTTAGGAAAAAGCAGTGACGCAGCATTTTTTTCCTAAAAAATATTTCTCACAAATCTGGTAGGACGCCACTGGTAATTTTAAAAAAATATATTCTCGAATCAAAAAATGTCTTTCGCTGCTTGAAAGCAGTGTACAAAATTTCAATGAAATATCTAGTGGTTTGAAACTAATGATAAAAATATAGTTTTTTTCTTAGAATTTCAACACCCGGTATCTCCGAAAGCGATTTATTTTCGACGTGGAATATACCATAACAATTTGGTGCATTAATTTCGGAACACCCTGTATATGTATTGATTAGATAGGGGATGGGCTATTCCAAACTTCTTACTACTTCATTGAGCCTAGTACTCATAACAGCGAAATTTGCTCTTTTTTGACATTGCTTCGACAATTTGACGTTTGATTTACGCATAAAGCGAATTTCGCGGTTATGAGTAGTAATGAGTACCAGAGGCTTTATCAATACACAGGGCGAGTACTCAAATATGACACTTTTCTGACATCGTTAACATGTAACAACCCGTAATCTAACCTCATAAAAATTTCAAAATGCCGGCTGGTTGGCAAAAATCACGTGGTTTGGATTCCCCAATTCTGGAATGGACGGTTGGATTCAACCGGTAAAAAGTCGGTACATTTTTTAACGGTTTGGCGAAGTAAACTAACAAACTGTAGGTGGTAGACGCTTTTTACTCATTGGGCGTCGACCGGTGAGATACCACCATGCCAGAATTGAGTAGCGCTAAGTGGTATCACCACGTTCCGCTACT